TCTTTCTTAATACCCCATCTTCCTCTTCTACTTGATTATAGTTGGAGGAGTATCCATAGGGGTAATTTAGAGAAAATTGATCTTATATTTATGACCAAAACCAACTTAAGAATTGGGTCCTATATTAAAGACCGGAGGAGTATATAAATATGAGAGACGAAGTGGATTGGGTCTTATATTTAGGATCAAAATAAAAGTCAAACAAGATCTTCTTCTATTAAGGACCGGAGGTAGTATAATGTTAAGTTTGTTCCACAGCACCACTGGATCAATCAAAATTGCAACACTACTCATATGAGTTTCCGTGGCAGAAACATGCATGTGCCACTCCAGCACCTCCTCCCTTTATTGGTTCTCCTTATGTGCCATCGATAAGTAGATCTCAACTCACATGCTAAGATTGTAAAATGGATTGATTACTATTTCAGGCACAACCGTTAATCCTCGTAGACTTTGTTTTGATTCCAAATATAAGACTGTTTCAGATTTATATTTTTTCTTTAAACTATTCATATTAATTTCATATACATACTAAAGTGGGTTTTTATGGATGGGATAGTTTCAAACACAAATTATAATTAGAGAAATTAAAATAAATTTTTTCAAATAATTAATTTCACTAATCTTTATAAATTAGTGACTTAACTCCTATATTTAGAATTAACGGGAGTATTCGTTTTTTCTTTAATCTTTCTTGATTTACCTGGCATTTCTAATATACTCTTGTCTTTGGCAGTTTTGATAATTTAGTTAAGGATATCTACCTGCGAAAGCAAATGGATCGTGAGGGTTGGCTTCCCATAAGAACAATAGCAGGTTTTCCAGGGTAAGATGTTTGCGACCTTTTATGTGTAATGTGTATATATAATGCTTTTTTAATTTTTAATATGAAGAATCTTATATGATCATCTTTCCTTATCGAGTTAAATATTAGAACTTAACTGGATATATATTAGTATTTATATAATTTGCACTAAATATGTGGGCTTCATTTTTATAATGTTATTTTATAATATGGCAGAAATCTTATAAATTCATCTTTAAATTTAGAATGAAATAAATCTTCAATTAGATAACATAAATGACAAATCCTACCAATCCTAATTTAACTATATATTTATTTAACAGATAATTCGAATATGATAATAAAAATAACCTATTTAAATAGAAAAAAATAATATCTAAATTCCTTTCATTTGTTTTTTCTTAGTATGAATATGGCATGCATTTTTGCAGCATTCATTAACTAATCAAATTTTTTCTTTTACATTTTTTTCAGATCAAAAAGTTGACTGGCAATGTCCAAATCATTGCAGATGCTCTTCAAACTTCATCCATAGTTGAAATTTCGGTATTATTCTCACACTAATTATAATTAAATCTGTTTGTATAATTAACTTTTACAATATGTGATTAAATTAATATGTGTTTCAGTCATTATTATCCAATATTGTAACAAATTATTTCCTCTTTTCAGGATAACAAAATCAGGCTACGTGTTGATAGGATGAAATGGATCTTAGATGATTCATTTCGAATTTCCTATATAATCTTTCAAAGGTCTGATGAACTCAAGTCATTTCTATGATCTATGGACCGATGGAAGAATTAGTTCAAGATGAGAAGAAAATTCAAAAAGATTGAAGTCATCTCCAGTGAATGCCCTGCTTTCAATTCCCATTATCATAGAAATCATGGTTTTGGGGTAGATATCAGATTTTTGTTTTGTGCGGTGTTTGGCTATTCTTTTTAGAGCATTTGATATGTAATAAGAGGTGGGTTGAGCCATCATAGTTCAATTTTGTTATGCGAAGTCATAAGACTTAATATCTACATCAAGAACCCTACTTTTTTGGCTTCACTCGAATTGTTTTAGTTTAACAGGATGTATATATATGTGTAGATGAATGAGTTCTCACACTTTTTGAGCTTATGCTTAATTTTATATTTATTTATGTGTTTTTAAAACTTGTAGAACTTGTGATTAAACACTTGTCTGAATCTGATCCTTACATACTTTAAAGTACGTTGCTTGAACATATGTTAGAATAAATGTGTCAATTATCATTAGCTATCTCATTATGTTAGCAAATTAATTATTTACTACCCTTGAATTCATAAGATGAAAAAATATTAATTAGCAGAGGTATATTTTAAATGATTTATTCAATTATTCTAATGTATTAAAGAGCTTCAAAACTCATTCAATTCCCACCATAATTTAATTAAACTTCATAGAATTGGTGAAGATCGATCTGCTTTATTACATTCTTTTTATATGTCTAATAAAGTTGTAGCTCCTAATTTTGAATTGACGAAGATGTGCTTTAGTACGTTTGTCTAACATTCAAATGAATGTTGTAGATTCAAGTTATGTTAAGACTGTAAAACACATAGTGATAGTTATTTCAAAACAAAATAGAAAATAGGTTAAAGTAGAAGACTTGAAATGGAAAAAAATCAGCTAAAATATTGGTTTTTATTTTTATGTATGTCTGCTAATAGTGAATAACATAAAGAAAAATACTTACATCAAATATTTTATATCAATCATATCATGTTGTCTAATCATATATGGTTTTGTGTAGTTGTGTGTTATTTTGATGAATAGATTTTGTACAAAAATAATATTTATAAAACTAGAATATTTAGATGATTGTTATCAGAATTATTTTTTTAATATTTAAATTACTAAAAAGGATATAAATGAATGTGATTATTATATAAGGTATACATTTTAAGTTATAATTTTTTCATCTGATTAATAAATAAATAATATATACCCACATATTTGGGAAGCAATTTATTACTAGTATTTATATAATTATTTTTTATATATAGAAATTTCTAATGATATATATGAACACAATTTAATCTAATTTAACAAGAATGATTAAATAATACTACCTCCGGTCCTAATTATAAGAGTCAGTTGACTAATTTGAGAAAATTAAGGAAGTAAGTTGAGTTAGTTATTTGTCCTAAATAGGTGTTGTCTTCCTTAAAATATCCTTACTAATCAAGTGTATTAACTAGAACTATAATTATTAGAAGGATTATCTTGGAAAAAATTGAGTAAATATGAAAGACAAAGTGAATTAAGGTCTTATATTTAGGATCAAAATAAAAGTAAAACAGTGTCTTATATTAAAGACCGAAGGTAGTATATGAATATATAATGAACCCAAATTTGGGTCAATGCCGGGTGGCGGGAATCTCCAGTGACGGCCACGCAACAATGCAACAGAAAAATCGCTTCCCCACTGGACAGGAGAAATCATGGTTTTGTGGTGTATAACAGATTTTGGGTTATGCGCGGTGTTTGGCTAATTCCTTCAGAAACCATAGTTTACTGTGGAAAAAAAGAAAGAAAGAAAGCGCTTTTGGAACCCCATCCAAACAGGCACTTACATGTTTCTTGAGTTTATTTAACCTTTTCAAAGTGTTCTTGTAAACTTTAAAAATCCCTTCTAGTTATGAGAAACCGATTAGTTATTATAAAGATAACAACTCGCAATAGTTAACACCTTAAAAAATATATAAATAAAGATAAAATTAATTAATAAATAATAATAAGATAGTAATTTGGATCTTTTTTAATTTGCCGAAATGGATTGAAAAATTATAAATTAACATTCTGTAAGGTTAGGATAGTAGTTAACAGTGTTAATCTTACCCAAACAATTACTGTTATAGAAGATGAATTGATGTATAACGTTGGCCCAAAAAAAAAAAGAAAAGATTGATGTGTGGGAAAAAAAAAAAGAAGGTGAATGTCTTTATATATTTCAGAATTCTTTTTACCCAAATATGTTTCAAAAGTTAAATGATTGCGTTTTGGAGTGAATTAATACTTAAATAATCTAAAAACAAAATTAATAAAATAAAAAATAAGTTAATTATAAATTAAATTTAATAATAAAATTTCAAAGTAAATTTCAGACATTAAAAAAAAAATATCCAGATAAATGTCAGTTGATGTTTTATTGAAGTAAATTGCTTACCATGATAGTTATTATCGGTTAATATTTAAATTATTCAGATAAAATTAAATCAGATCTCATCATATGGGAATCTAAAATAACTAGATAAATCTAAGTTAATCTTAGAATTCTGAAGGCCCCTCGATTCATTATATATGTATACACACACCCCTAGCCATCTTAAGATAAACCTCATAGAGGAGGGAGAGAACTCAAGTTTAATCAAGCTTCTATACTTTTGTTTTTGTTTTTCTTTTTTTTTTGGCCTGAGGTTTCTGTACTTTTACTAACGTTGTTAAGCAGCAAATTCTTCCATAGTCTTAGGGCTCATTTGGATTGCCGTTAGGAATGGTAAAAACATATAGGGAAGTGTGAAACTACGGTTTGTGATTTATTGTGGCTTAGAAGATTGTTTAGATGAGGCTTCTTTTGTAATTGACTTATAGGAAAAAGTAACTTTTCTAACTAACTTATCCAACGCAATCGGGATCAACTTTTCTAACTGACTTATGAAAAAATTGTACAAAGTTTACGATCTAATTAGTTATATGATTTCATTTACTTTAATTAGAGGCTAAATGAATTTTAATTTATATTCATGTTTGTCTATTATATATATTTAATTAATTATCTATAATGTGTTTTTAAATTTTTCTTCGTAACAAATATTTTTATTTTATAACTTCACAAATAAACTATTTATATTTTATCATAATAATTTTATGTATTTTTTAAACTATTATCACATTAAAAATATAAAATTTCAAACACTACTATTCAACAAAATTCATGTCCTTTTCAGTCATTTTATAACTAAACTAAATTTTTTATTAATCATTTAAACAACTTTCAATGTTTTCAACTGACTTTTTATAAGCACATATCCAAATATAAATCATATTACACTAACTGACTTTTACTCTAACTTCAATTATAAAAGTTAGTTGGACTATAAGTCAATTTTGCCCAACGCCAACCAAACATACCCTTGGCTACTCGGATCGTTTTAGTTTGCCAATGGAGTTTCAGTTTATTAATTCTTCTTCGTCTAAAAATCATAGTGATTCCTATAATATCTCCATCATTACTTCTGCTTCAATCAATTCTTCGTCCAAACCTACTTATGTTGCTGTTCTTGCTAAGTCGTCGTTAACATTGCCGGCGATCGTGGCTGAACGTTCATCCGCGGCGAATGACTGTGAACCTGTCGGTGAGGGTTTCAAACTGTCATCGGAGTCATTTAATAGGGGTTTGACCGATGGGTCATCTATCCTACAAGAGGAGAAGTTTTGAATTTTATGTTCTTTCTTTCTATTTATTTATTTATTTTTGTCAGTTCTAAATATTTGGAGTTTGAGGGATTGTTTTCTCAGCAATTTTGACATACTTGAAAACATCCCGACATGTTAGAGCTGATATATTTTCATATTCATACTACGTACACCTAGATAAATAAAATTTAGACTACAACAAAATAAATTCAATTTATAATGAAAATAAAAAAAAATGATCGCCATAACTTTCCCCCACAGGTGTTTGCCGCATCACAAAAACTTCGTTGTCAATTTTGAGACGAATATATGATCATTTTTTGTGCCCAAAATATTACGATAAATTCATGGAAAATTCTTTTGTTATAATTTTCTTCTCATATCTTCTGATGTGAATATTACCTCAGTTGTTAGTTTATTCTGGGTTTAATATGTTGATAAATTTTCAAAATATATATTAGTATTTTGATTGCCAATACATATAAATATAGGGTCCTGAAAACCCACCTTCCCTGTCGGAGAAACAAGCTGAGGATGAGACTATGGTGTCAACAAGCCAGCCGGAAGTAATATCCGAAAATCATACTGACCCTCCGTCACCATGTCATTCTTATAACATCTCTATCATTACTTTACCGTCGGCTCATATTTTACGCCCAAAATCCGATTCTTATGCTAGTGTTGATGCTAAGTCGTCGTTGCCATTGCCGGCGACGGTGCCTGAATGTTCATCCTCGACCGCTGCTTCTTCCTCTTTGCCGGCGAATGATTCTGAGCGTATGGCTGAGGGCTTGAAACTGATGACGTCGGAGTCATACAAAGATTTGACCGATCGATCACCTTCACTACAACTGCAGGTTTTTTTTTCCCCCTTTATTTTTCTTTCCGGTTAATAAATCTAAAAATTTTTTATATTTTAATTACGAATTATATGTAGGACTCTCAAAGCCCACCTTCCCCATCGAAGAAACAAGTAATTACCAGCGATAAGACTCTGGCGCCAACAAACCAACAAGAACTAACGAGTCAAAACGGCGCGTTTTCCAGCGGCATCCACGGCCAGATACAGTCAGCAAGTCGTGGTGCCACGTCCACGACAGGGTCCCACAACTCCTCTTTAAGCCACAATAGACGAAGGAGTACTACAATAACTGGATATAGAACAAAGATCCATAATAATGTTAACGTTGTTCCATGGCAACATGGGATGATCAATCAAAATTGCAACACTCATGGGAATTTCCGTAGCGGAAACATGCATATACCACCTCGAGGCCATACAATGTTTGCAAGGCCACCTCCGCCGCCTCCTCTACGGCCGCCGCCTCCGCCTCTGGCATCTTATTCTTACCCTTATTATTTTCCCCAACCGCCCGTCGTAATACCACCAATGCCGCCACCGTATGGAGTCTCTTATGTATTCCCAGCTGGTATGTAACATCCAATTGGAGAGTTTGTAATTGTATTTAATTACTCCCTCCAGCTCCTGTATATAAGCATCATTTTTGAGATAAGTCTGGTTCAAAATATAAATTTTATTCTTGAGTTTATTTGAACATTTATTACTTTTTTTTATTTTGCCCTTATTTGACTATATTTAGTACTGTGTCTCATTAACATTACCTTCATATATTCTCTTTCATCATTTTGTTTATTTATTATCTCTCATTTACTCTCTTAATAAATAAGAAAAAATTTGAAGAAGAAAAAAATTATAACCTATTTATTATTTTAACTAATTTTAACTGCTAATTCGTTAAAAGTTCAGTTATTTAAAACTTATACATAGAAGCAGACGAGTACTTAAGTGGCAGAGTGAATGATTAATGAAGATAGTTTTCTAGTTATCAAAATTATAGTTTTGCGTGATATATTTATATTTTTGATGGCTGACTATTCGCTTACAGATTTGGGTCGTCATATTCCATATCATGCCACTCTCGAGCCATTTATTGGAGCTCCTCATCATGTGCCATCAATAATGAATAATCGTGCAGCTCGAGATCCTGAGTTACCTGCTAAGATTGTTAAACAGATTGATTATTACTTCAGGTGCAGCGGTTAATAATTCTCATTTGGTTAATACAACACTTCCTTCTATAGGAGCTAATTGAGGGGTTTTGTTTTGGTTATAAATATAAGATTTCAATTTATTTTATGTCTCAAATTTATAATTTTTTCTTAAACTATCCCGATTGATTCCTTATATTAAAAGGTTTTCTTTTAATCAATGGGCTAGTTTCAAATACAAATTATTAAAAAGAGTAAATTAGAGAAACCAAGACACTTTTTTAAAAAAAAAATTAACTAATTTAATTAATTTAATTAATCTTTATAGATTAGTGATTTAAAAGTGTTAGATTTTTCTTTAATCTTTCTTGATTTACCTAGTATTTCTGATATACTCTTGTCTTTGGCAGTTTTGATAATTTAGTTAAGGATATCTACCTGCGAAAGCAAATGGATCATGAGGGTTGGATTCCTATACGAATGGTAGCTGGTTTTCCCAGGGTAAGATGTTTGAGCTGGCCCATAACGTACATATAATGCTTTTTAAAATTTTTACTATGAAGAATGTTATTTGATCATCTTTTTCTTATTGAGTTAAATCTTAGAACTTAAATGAATATATATATGTATACGTATGTATATGTATTAGCATTTATTTAATTTGAACTAAACATGTGGGTTCATTTTATTTATTTTTTTGATATGACAGAAATCTTAAGAATTCAGCTTTAAATTTCAAATAAAATAAATCTTAAATTAGATAAGAGATGACAAATGACAAATCCTACAAACCCTAATTTAACTATGTATTTATTTAACAGATAACTTGAATATCCTAATAAAACTAAACTATTTAAACAAAAGAAAAAAAATCATAATTGATGATACATCTTTTCATTTGTTCCCCCATTATAAGTAATTACTAAATGATGATATTTTTTCTTATCTTTTTCATCAGATCAAAAAGCTGACTAGCAATATCCAAATCATCACAGATGCTCTTCAAATTTCATCTGTAGTTGAAATTTCGGTATTTTTCCCATCCTTGTTAAATCAACATGTTTTTCACTCATTATTATTACATATTCTAATAAATTATTTCCTCCTTTCAGCGTAACAAAATCAGACCACGTCTTAATTGGACGAGATGGATTTTGCATGAGTCATTTCAACTTCCCTAAACAACAGAAAGCTGAGATTCTAGGAATGTATGGAAGATTTATTTGAAGATGATCTGTTTCTGTATTTGAACAATGCTTATAGGAAAAATCTTAAAAAGACAGTTCAAATGCCAGAAGGAATGTCGTTTTATTGTAGGGAAATATAAAACTGTCTGGATATGAAATTGTTTTAGAGAATTTCATATGTAATACTCCTCCGGTCCTAATTATAAGACCCAATTGACTTATTTGAGGAGATTAAGGAAGTAAGTTAAGTTGGTTATTTATAATAAATAAGTGTTGTCATTCCTAAAATATCCTTGCTAATTAAGTATATTGGCTAAAACTATCATTATTAGAAGGATTATATTGGAAAAAAATGCATAAATATAAGAGACAAAATGGATTGGGGCCTTATAATTAGGACCAAATAAAAAGTCAAATGGGGTTTTATAATAAGGACCGGAGGAGTAGTTAAATTTGGTTCTACAAAGTCACAAGAGTTAAGTCGGGTCATAGTGCATCAATAAGCTATTATTAATTGAGGTGATGGTAAACACCCTTGCCGGTTAACTCTTATATTAATTTTAGAAGAAAGTAGTAGCCTATAAGTAGTGGTCGTATTTTGGCAAGCTTTTTCTTTGATCTTTGTTGTGGGATTTTGGCCATTTTGTATGAACACTTTCTGAACTAATTTGATTTCAATGAATAAAGTTGCTTCTCTGAGCATTACACATATCTCTGTATTATTTTATTGTCGTTATTTTAAATTGACTTGTACGTGTCTATACATATACATACATATATATATATATATATATATATCTTATCAATCGATAAAGACATAAAGTTGGGTATAAACATATATGGTGAGCACATGGCATTATTTAGGACAAAGATATATAACATATTATTAACAAGTGATCTCTCTATGAACTTAGTTTTTCATGTGTTTTATTTGTTTTTTTTTAATAAAAAGGTGTATCTAGTGCCCTGAAATATTTTTTTTAAATACATCTAGTATCTTAAAGTATTTTGTGGTGCATCTAATACTCTGAAATATTTTTATTTAGAATCTTGAAGTATTTTTTAGTGCATTCAGTAACTTAAAATTTTTTTAGCGGCATCCAACACTAAAAATATGTTTTTGGTATATCCAATATTAAGACAAAAAAATACTTCAAAGCATCAAATGTACCATAAAATACTTTAAGGTGTTGGATGCACTTTAATATTAATAAAAAAATTATTATTATTTGTTTCAATATTACTGGGCTTCAATACCATGAGCTGAAAATTGCCATCAAAGTCCAACTTATGACCACGTACGACAAAATACAAAGCCAAAACAGAGCCGCACATAAACATTGAAACATTTCGTACAATCTATGCAAAGCCAACAGAAAAACGCATAAAACAAAATCCAAGGCAGGTATTAGAAGGCAAATCTTTGAAAATCATTCTGCAGAAAGTACTTATTTTTTCTTAATTTTTAGTTGATATCTGTATGTTTTTCTTTCTTAATTTTGTTCTGTTACCACCGTAAAAATAAAGAATATACAAAGGATTTGATTGGGAGAATGAAAGTGTCGGGAAGGAATCAAGTAAAAAGTACGGAATAAAGTCAAGTTTTAGAATCAGTTCAGCTTGATGAGATTCGTTTTATTATTAGGATTCAATTTAGAAGCTGATTGAGACGATGAGATGATTTGTCAGAGGAAGCTTTGCCCCTTTATTGCTCTGTTTCTGGGTCGAAGAGCAGAGAGATGAAGATGAAGCAGAGGGAGTTATCTTACATGTCCCCCCCCATATGTCCAGGTCAGCCAGGCATAAGCTTACTTGGCAATTTTACATGGTCATCTTACCCAGTCAGCAACCCACATCAGCATTTTTAACATTTTTGCTGCCACATCATCAAATTTAATATCGTTAGCTTCAGATCCAAGTTTTTATAAAAGGAGAAGAACCAACATGTTAGAAGGAATAAACTTGAGGGATAAAAAACTACACACATATATATGTATATGGACTAAAATAACAATGCGAGCAAACTATACAAGGACTGATAAATAATACAACTTCCCGTTCTTAATATAAGAGTTAATTAAATCATTTAAATAAATTAAAGGAGTATGTTAAATTAGTTATTTGTAATAAATAGATGTTCTATTTCCTAAAATACCTTTTCAATTTATGTGTATTAGTTAGAATTGCTATTTGATAGAATCATTAACATTTGTAATTATTATAATGACTATTTTGAAAAAAAAAAGACAAATATAAGAAATAAAGTAGATTGAGATCTTATATTTAGGGTTTGTTTAGTACAAGAGAAAATGAAAGGAGGGGAGAGGAGGGAAAATTTTAATAGACTCAATTTAAAAAAATTTTAAAAAAAAGGGATTCAAAGCTTTTAATTAATTTTTATTACTCTTTTATGTTACTTCTTTTCTTTATTAAGATTTCAGAACCCACTTTTCCAGTTTTTTAAATAGAGCTCATTTTTCTTCCCTTCCTCTTCATTTTTCTCATACGAAACAATATCTTAAAAGTAAATTGAATATTAAACTAGCTTTTATATTAAAGATTAGATGTAGTAATATTAATCTTTGCAAATTTATTTTAACTCTTGGAGTTTTGTTGAAGGCATAACTTAGATATTCTTATTCATGAGTCATGACAAAGCCTTCCATTTTTTATTGATTAGAAAAGTGTTATGTCATAGTCTTTCAATTTCAATAGCTAAAAATAAAACAGAATATTTGAAACCAATCGCAAAAATTAAATTTTTTTAAATAGATTGAAATTACTACTAGCTACTTGTGCCTTTTAAATTAAATTTATACTCATTTATAAATGTTATAGGATAGAGATCATTTTCATCCACATATGTCATATGTATATACAGAGACAGAGGGATCAACACGTTATCATTTTGAAAACGACCAGGAGCAAAGTAACTATAAAAACTTAAAAAGTATAGTCTTTTATAGAAATTTTAATTTTAAGATGTTCAATTATTGTTAATAATCATGTGGGTGGATCATATTCCTTACAATAATATATCTTACGTATTCAAGATAGATACTTTTGCAAATTGATCTTGCTTTTTTTTTCTTCCCATTCACAGAAAGCATATATGAACTTTTTTTTTTCCTTTTTTGAAAAACAGCAAGCATATATTGACTTTCCATCACTTTTTGATTTCTCACATGTACGTTGATTATAATATCTCATCATGATGCTTAATTTTGTTTTGCTTCAGATTCACCCTCATTACTGATAAATCATACTTAATAAATTGTAAAGCCCTTAACGTTTACAGAGATCTAGTTTCATATATATTGATCTTTATGTGTACTGTCTGAATCCTCAATATTCAAGCATATTGAGAGAATTAGGGGGAAAGTGGAATGAAAGTGCGTCTAGCATATGGTCTTCTTTTTTCTTTTTTTTTGGAAAATTTCGTTTAGTGGTTCTAATACTTAATATATACCCAAAAAGTGTGTATGAATATAATTTTGATATATATTTTGGTAATTGATATATATTATTTGAAAAGAAAAAAAGGAAATGACACATCCAGACAGCCAAACAAAATAAATGACATTAATAGATCACATATTTGTAAGAATTTAAGGTAAAAAAGTATAAAAGTCAATGAATGATCGAAAATACTTGCGAATTTTGAAAACTTAATTGTAAATCTCGAAAGCATGGTTATAAATTACAAAATATATTTAGTTATAAGTGAATTATAAATTGTGAAAAGTGAAAAGTGAAAACTCGATTTTTAAATTCGAGAAATTTTAGTTACAAATCCCAAAAGCTGTTCAATCCGCCTATAATTTACAACTTGTTATTAAGTTTCTAAAATTTTGCAAAGAAGTACTTTTCTGGGAGATTTGCAAATTTACGATCCTTTAGCGTCTTTTACTTATTTTAGTGATCCGTATGTATCATTCTCCCAATATGTACAACTACATAAATGAGTTTTGGGAGGAAGGATTATGTCATGTCACTGCCAATAGGGAATTGAGAAATGTATTAAGGAAGAGAATCCTATTTAATATCCACCTGACAACTATTTATGAACCAAAGCTACCCCATCGATCGATCCAATTGACTAAAAATTAAAAATATTAATGTAGTTTTCTTCTTCCTCAATCTCAAATATATTGTTCTTCCATTGCTAATAATTTAGAGCAGCCATGGTTGAGACTGCAGCTCCAAGCAATAATAACAGCTCTTCAATTGATCATGGAAGACCCTCTAGAGGTGGCTGGAATGCCGCCATCTTCATCATTTGTAAGCTCTCTTTCAACTTTCAACCTTCTTCTCCTTCTTCTCTTTCGATCTCCTTCTCTCTGCATGTCATCTTCTTGTTTGGGTTTTTCAATCAGAATCAATTAATTTCATTCCCAAACTAATTTTTCATCAACAGCTCACGTTTTCACAGAAAATTTTAATTCTACAGCGATATCGAATTTGGACATGAAGATCTTTATAGCCTGAACCTGAGTTCCTCTTCCAAAATTATTTCACAGACTCAGATCCGAGTTTAGGTAGTTCCATCTGTGTGTGTGAGAGAGAGAGAATCTGACTGAGAATATTGATACCCTGCGAGTATGATGGAACTAATATTGATGAAATCTTGTTTACAAACAGTTTTTCTTGGCATAAACTAGAACTCTTGAATTACTATGACCACTACTTTGGTTTGATTGAGACATTAATCTTTGATGAGTTGATGAAATGCATGTCGCAGTTGTGGAGATGGCAGAGAGATTTGCGTTTTATGGATTAAGTGGGAACTTGGTGAGTTACTTAACCAATGTTTTGGGAGAGACAACACCGGCAGCTGCTAAGAATGTTAACAACTGGGTTGGTGTCTCCTTCGTCTTCCCTTTGCTCGGAGCCTACATTGCTGACTCCTACCTTGGTCGTTTCAAAACTGTCATCTTCTCTTCCATCATCTATTTCTTGGTATGCATATACATCCTACTTTCCCAAACACTTATTGTCATTTTTCTCTTGAAAATATTCGCAAAGGAGTTATAGGTATCT